GTGATGCTGCTCTGCATCAAGCAACCGAAACCTTAAAAAATACTCAAATTGGATACAACTAATCACTTTTTCCCAATACCCTCTATCTATCACAGAGGGAAAAAAAAAATGTTCCCCTCAGCAGTGTCAGAAATAGAATAAGAAACAAGAACTGTCACTTCCTGACAGACACACGGGCAAGATATTGTTGTATTTTCACAACCAAGCCTTGCTCTATGACAACATATAACACCCTGAGATTGTCGGAATTTTTATAAACTCAGCGACGATAGGGAAGGAGTTTATTTCAGTGCTGCTGATCACAATGGAAGTTCTAAAGGTCGTGCCTTTTCTGGTGGCCGGAAACTTCGTAGCCAGTGGCCATCATGGTCTTATACACATAATTTACTGGTCTTCTAAATAACATATTATTGTCTAAAAAGTCGGAGAGTGAAGAATTGAACTGTTGAAGTATGAAGACACTTACACTTGTTTAAATTTTGAATACTGTCATCAGTTTTCACACATCCAGCCTCAACATAGGATTTAAGCCTTTTAGTCTCACGAGTTCTCATAATGCGCATTGCCATTTCAGAAGTTTTATCAATTCGAGGCCTACCTAAAAACCCTGCATGATATGATAAGCAAATCATCAAGGTCTCGCAGAAGACAAGACATCACATCCAATGCTACACAAATGGCGTCCCAAATAATTATAAATCAGCCTCGAGGATAACAACTTAAAACTGAATCTTAATTTCTAATTCCAATTTTGAGACCTCATTTCCATGTCACCAAACATGTCTAAAGGTTAGAGCATGTTTGGCTGAATATAAAAATAAGAAAAAAGTTAACTTATTTCTGAAAACACTTTAGTTATGTTAGTTTTTTCTTACTTTTTAATTGAAAAAAAAAAGTTTTTATTTTGAAAGAATACTTGAATTGCTGTCAAATAAGTATTTCTTGCAGACCAAAGCATGAAGCAGAAAAAACACGCAAAAAGCACTCACCGAGTGCTTGCTGAAAGCCGACGAGTAATTTGCTTCCAACGTCTACTAGTTCTTCAAACACTGTGATCCTGTAACCGCAGTGCCAGCACAAGGTGTAGTGGTAAAACAAGTATACATAACTGAACAATTGGAATCCTACACATAAAAGGTTACCTAGAGAATAAAAAGCAAATAATATAAATTAATTGTACAATAATTTTAAAAATTTTGAATTTAACCTTGTCATGAAATCTGAAAAAATTTGAATAATTTTCTCCTTGGATTCACGGTCCGGTCTGTGTTCTTTATCTTCCATTCTGCAGAATATCGGATTTACCTAACTCCTAAACTGAGGCATTTGGACCAAATTTTTAAACCCTAAATTGAGAGATGTGTGCCGCGTGTGAAGAAAGCGCCAGACGTGAGGAGATTGAGATAACAAGTATGTTTAATCGATTTAAATTATAATTTAGCGTCCGTTTAAATAATAACTTATTTTTATAACAAAATAATATTACATGTAATCTTAAAATATTTTTTTTAGATCTTGTTTCATCCCTATTTTTTAAAAAATATATTTTTCTCTCTATTCTTTTCAATGACTCATTCTTCAATAAAATAAAATTACACACAATCTGAAAATTTTTTCTTCACTTTTAACCACATATTCTCAATTGATCTACATTCTAAAATACATTCGACACAAAAAAAAAGGGCCCAAACAAGCCCTTAACAACATATTGTTCAAAAAATTATTATTCAAAAATACATTTTCCCCGAATTCTTATTATAATGGGTCAAACAAGGACTTGATTAGACATTTTTAAAAGGGAAAATTATAAAAAAACAGGTGTTTAAATATTAGAGTGCAAAAATCACGTGAGAAGATTTTTTAATCAAAATTCAGGTATTGATTTAAAAATTAAATATTATTCCCACCCTACCCAATCTCAAACCCTAAATTATTTTTTCATCTCCCTCTTTCTCTTTGTACCCGCCTCTCTCTCTCTCTTGACAGACCTACCTTCTTACTCTCTTCTCTTCCGTTGTTTCTCCCACCCCAATCGATGACAACAAGCGGCGAAAACATCTACCGACGTCCGTAGATGGAGTGTTGAGCGAGTTGAAGAGGCGTCGGCGATTTAAAGCCGTCACCTCTCCCCTTCCCTCTCCCTCGCCTCTTCTCCCCTCTCTCCCTTTTTAGTTATTTGTTTTGATTTGTGAGCTATTCAATTTTTTGTTGGTTGTTTTAATTTGTGGTGGTTGATGGTTCATGCGGTATAGATGGTGGTGCGGTGCGATGGTGGTTGACCACCGCACACATTTTCCCTTCTCCGTGCCGTTTCACAGTGCCTCTTCCCGCGATCTGCAATGAATCTTTGTTGGGGTGGTCGCTGTGGTGGTGGATCGCGCGACCCTAGCCTTCGCGGGGTGTGTGCCGTTCTCAGCTGCCGGCTGCCGCTCAGTGGGGGTGCGCGCGCGCTATGAACGACAACCGGTGGAGTGGATGTAGTGTTTGACTACAAATGTGGTGTGTGGTGGGTTCAGATCTGGTTGGTGGTGATGTTGAGGGACTATGGCTGAATGCTGCGGTGGTGGTGGGTGTGTCTGCGCGCTGTGGGTGCGGTGCGGTGTGGAGGTATTGGCGACATGGGTGTGTGGGTTTTAACCAGTCTGGAGTGTGTGGAGGGTTGGTAGGTTGGGGGTAGTGGCGGTGCTTTGTTTGGTGGCGGTGTTTTGTGTGGTGATGGTGGTTGGAGTAGTGATAGTGGTATGTGACCAAATATTTAACTGTGACCTAAAAATTTGACAATGTATGACTGATAAATAATATGTGACCAACAAATTTGAAAATATGTGATCAATGAAATTAACTATTTTTTTATCTATGACCTAAAAATTATATAATCTGTGACCGTAAAAAATCTGTGACCAATTAATTTGGAAATCTGTGACCGTGTAACCTATAAATTTTGATCTGTGACCAACTAATTTTGAAATCTGTCACAAACGAATTAAATGTGACCTATGAAATTTTTGAAAGGTGACCATAAAATATTCTGTAACATATAAAAATTATTATTTGTGACTGAAAAACAATATGTGACTAATTAAATTATAAACATGTGACCGGAATGGTTGCCAGAATAGTCGCCGAAAAAGAGTGGTCGTCGGAAAGTAGTGGTGGTCGGAATAGTCCCCGGAGCGGTAGGAGTGGTGCATGTGGGGTGAGTTTATTATATTATAATATATTAAAATTTTAAAAAAAAAAACCCGATTTTTGAATTTTCAACTATAAACATGATTTTTGAATTGGTGTAAACTAAACATCTTATTTATGAATTTTTTCCCTTTTAAAATTGTAAATGGGCTCGATCCAGTCCAATCCCATTTGAGCCCCATTTTTAAGTCAAAATATATTTTGAAATACGGTATTTTGTTAAAGAATGTACGATTAAAAAATAAGAAAAATTTTGGATTCACATGTAAAAATATTTTATGGGAGAATGTGTGATTGAAAATGAGTTTTAGGAAAAATGGGACATAATCCATAAAAAACCCATGCCTCGTCTCTTTGCTAATAATCGTAATTCTTTGAATTCTTCCGTGAACATAATAAGATGTTTTTTGGAATTGTATCCAAAAATTAGTAATAAGTGATGTATTCTACGTTTGTTAGAAAGCGTGAGGAACACTTTGTAACATGTAATTTTTTGCAATTTTTACTATGACCTTTCATTTGTCACACCTAGAGTCCTAAACCTTATATTTTCGGGCAATGGCATAACATATATACGATTTCTATCCATGTTTTTGTAAGTTGAAAAGGTCCCTTGGATAGTGAAAACTGCTAGGGTATGGTTACAGGGCTGATGTGGTAGCACTTGATTGGGTGTTTTTTGTTTTTTCAAATTTCAATGGAAAACTGACGTGTTATTTGGGGAAAAAATTCTGTTATTGAGTTTGTTTGTGTAGGACGGTTGTGATTTTAACAATTTCAAATGAGTAATGTTATTTGCAATCGTTTACTATTATAGTCTTCATACGTGGCATACATGTAATGATTGATGATTTGATACATTAATGTAGTAATTTTTTATTATCTCATGCATCAAATCATTAACCACTACATATATGTTTTAGTGGTCATGGGCCGGGCCGGGCCGGGCCTATTGCCCACTAGCCGAGCTCATGGATCGTTTGGAACGAGTGCTCAACTTGTTCCTCGAGGACCAAGCTCGGCTCAATCCTCGAGCTTCAGCTCGCGAAATCATCTTATCCATAAACGTAATGGATTGTTCGGTCCTTTAAAGCACGGTCTAGATCCATGCCGCCAAGAACCATACAAACGGTCTCTTTCAAGTCCTTAAATTTTAGTTCAAGCACGGGAATTAAATTGATGTTAACAAATAATGTTGAAATTTATAGATTAACTAAATAGAGAACTTAAACCTAATTAACATGTGCACGTAGGAATATATATTGAGCAATCAATAAATTCAAATAATTGTGGGTTTGATTACAAGAGACCTTTGGATGAAAATATCAACTTGTAAATGGTACTCTTGATGTAGTAATCAAATATTGACAATAAATCATGTCAAACATTAAGTCTATCTTTCAACCGACACAATTTTCACATTAAAAAAAATTATAATTGTCACATATTTATTATCATAGGTGTGCAAATATTCGATCGTGACCTTCATTTGGGCTGGTCAATACCCGCATGAATTACGTAAATACAACTTTCCTAATATTCAAAATAAATTAATTTAGACAATGGAGATTACTTTGGTAACATGTTGTTTCAATTAATCTATTTTAGAAAATTAGTAATCATAAAGAAACATTAACACCGAGATTTGAAATTGATTGCATTTAATCCTTATCTTTTATTTTTATTTTTCCTTTTTTTTTCGTTGCCAAAAAAAAAAAACCACAAACAGCAGGACAACGCCGCGGCACCCATTTTTGGGCACCGCTGAGCGCATGCAACACTGTGCAAAGCAGACAGACAACCCTTTATTATTCATTAGTCAACAACCCGTTTATTCAACATAAGCTATGATAGCAACTCAAAATAGGCGTGTTCAGTAGAGATTAAAATCAGATTAAAATTGAAAAATTAGTCGTTATTGTTGACTTTTATTAAACGAATGGAACCCAATAACGATTATATTTTCAATTTTAATTAGATTTTAATTACAACCGAACACGCCCATGTGATATGCTCAACCCCACTAAAACTAATTTATTTAACATTTTTATATTTTCTTTTATGTGACCCAACCAATTGAATCTATCATGTTGCCTTTACTGCCTAGTAGCGGTGCACTACACAAACGTAAAGCTGCAGCCATTCTTTACTTTAAAATTATTCATCGAATCTCAATACTTTAACATGGAGTTGACTCTGATATCACTTATAGAAACTTTATGAAATTTTAAATTTTATAAGCTATAAATTTTTAAAGTTGAAAACCTAAATTCCTTTATTGTCAAGATCTTTCATGTCAAATCACCAAAAAAATTAATAATGCGGAACATATCTTACTTCTTTGGGAATGATTCTTGGATCTTGAATCTCGAAGATTGACTATTTTGATTCTAGAGTTCTTGTTCTTGATTTTGGCTTCTTGGTTTTTAATCTTGATTGTCATTGATAATGTCAAAATTCGTACCTGGGCCAACCCGAACTGGATGAAATAAGGCGTCGAGGTATGTTCTCGTCGCCCCTCCGATGCTTAAGTCTGACAAGTGTGCAAGAAGAAATATATTGGAATGTTATGAAAAAATCCACCTGAATAATAAGGCTAGGTTATGCATTTATAGATGTTGGAGGGGGAGTAGGACTTAACTTCCTGTAATTCTAGTTATTTTATGTGTTTGTATTGTGTTAGAAGTGTACAATTTGTGTTAGGATAAAATTTGTAATGAACTGGAAGTTTATATTTAAGTAGGACTAGTATTTCTAGGCCCGACCTCATAATGGACCCGAACTCGGAATTAGGCCAGTTGGAGTGAGCCAAGATCGGGCCCACTAACTCAAGTTCAAGTCAAGTAGCTCGAGTTTGGGCCTATCAATATTTTTTTTGCATCATGGGGCCCCGTGCATCCAAGTCACAGCTAAAAAGTTACGTGCTTGAGCTGCGAGGTGAGATGCAAAGAGGCGCAACAAGTTTAATCTTTGTTCGATTTGCAATTTGTATGTAGTTTGAGTTCGTTACTTAGCCAATTTTTGGCAAATAAGCTCTAGTTTTGCATTAAATAAGTAGTTTGAGCTTGTTACTTGGCCAATTTTTTGCCAATAAG